GGCTCCTTCAGTCGGCAGCGCGGTGCAGCAGACCGCGCTGTGCGCCTCGTGTGTAGCAAACCAGCCTCCATTCAAAAAAAATCTGGCACTTCAGTGTTTATTAATTCGTTTGCAAGCGCGCATGCTCGTTGAGGACATGACTTAAGACGTTTTATAACAGGTTTTTTTGTAAATAGGCTACACCATCCCCCCACTATCACTTCTATTTTCCCGGTTTTACATTTAGTCCAGACCCCACTGTCCACTTATAGGTTGTGAGAACCAGTGCTAAGGGTCCACATTTACTGAATTTATGAATGCCGACCGTACACCTTTTCATTCGATATTTAGAAAGCATAAATATTCATAATGTATGATGTGTGCATCTTGACGTGAAGCACATTATGTGTAAAATGTGTGATTCGTTATTTGGCGTCGCCGTTTGCTCCATGCAACAGAAAACGAAACCCAGTCGACTCCAGCACTGCCTACATAATGTCTTCCTGCTGCTCCGATGTTTCTGCATAACATGCTTGCAAAGAATCCAGCATGACATCATGCGTGAGAAACGGTCCCGTTCAGGGCGGACTGTTGTAACGACAGGATCAAATGGGAACATTACATAATCCTAACTGAGTTTAGACTGATGGTTTGATTTGGATGGCAGTGTGGTGGCCAAGTGGATAAAGCTTTAACGTCCCATGTTACCGTTTGGGGGTGTGATGTTGCTGTCCTGGTTGAAATATCAACAATTATGGGTGAGAATGTAGGCTAACTATAAGGATGAGCACAGTACCTGAACAGATCAACTCCACCTGAAACATTCCTCATTGCAGTGAAGCCTGCTGGATGAGAGGGCATCTGAGAACGGCTGTGGAATGCAACATTGCTCTGCTGCAAAAACACTTGCTACAACATTTTTCATTCCCTCCCTTATATGTGACTGGTTTATTACAAGATTTAGGTAGAATAAGTAAATTCTCCAAAGGCGCGCAACATTTCTGGGCTCAGTTATGGAGCAGTGACTGCTGACTGTCTGGGTATTTTATCATTATAAGTTGTCTGTTATCCTGCTGCCGGTTTGGGAGGGAGGGAGATCTGGTGCTGAATAGGGCTGGAATCATGATGGTTTTCATCACTGATTAATGTATTTATCTGTAAATTGCCAAAAAAAAGTCTAACCCATCACCAGTTCCCAGAGCTAAAGGGCTCCTCTTGAAATTTCTTGTTGTTTGACTAACAACCCAAATATATTCAGTTTGTGTCCAACATAAAAAAGCAGCAAATTCTTAGCTGGGACCAGTGTGTATCTTACAGGAAGTAGTAATGCATAAGGAATGCAAGCAAAGGCACATAATTACTTAGGCCTGAGCGAAGTGTATCATTACTGTTTACAGTCGTCTCATGTTTGCAGTATGAAGTGCTCTCATCCTTTACCTACAGAATCCGAGACTGCCTTGTTGTGTGTCATGTTGTCCTGCTGTGTCACTCCACAGCGAAGATGTTAAGAGTTTTATCATTCTTTTGTCAGACCCTGTCCTCGACAGTCTTCTTTCCTCAGTGTCCCTGTGGAAAGGCCAGTGCCTGTGACTCTGGTTGTTTATCATTTTTCTTTGCCAGAGTTGTCCTTCACCTCAGGAAGGATGTGAAGGGGACATAACAATCCACTACTCTGTTCTAACAGTCAGGTGTGATGCTGTGTGCCTATATCAGTCACTCCCCCACATGTTGAACAGGGTTGGTGCAGGGAAACACTGACCTCATGTACCTGTCAGAAGCATACAATGTGCTCCTTATGTCATAAATCTGTCAGTTGTTCCATGAATAAAGACCTATTTAAAGGGGCACATTGTACAATGTCCTCTGTGGCTTGAAGGGAGCTTCCCAGAATCTGAAGAAACAATGCTGATAATGTCATCAGGGTTATCACAACTCGGGTCTGGGGACTGCTTTTTGGTTGTTTTTCATTTTCTAGGTGTGGGAATTGCAGGATCCAGTATACTAGGGGTCAAATACAGTCAGTCAGATACAGTTTCTGTTGTATCATATAGGAAACTTCTTTGTTTAATGCAACCCATGTAAGTCCCTTATTTTAAAAAGTGCAATACTACACTGTGGACCATTTAAAGTGGTGCTTTGCAACTTTGAACTTTAACTTTGAAATCCATTTTGTTGCTCAGCATTCACTGATTTTAGAACCTAAACAGTTAATTGTTTAGGCAGCTGTTTTGTTAATCAAGTTAATCATTTGAATATTTTTTCAAAAACAGCCAAAATTCTCTGTCACCTTCTCAAATGTGTATATTAGTTTTTTTTCTAAAACCTGATAGTATACAGAATAGTATACCTTGGCTTTTGGCTAATTGATGGAATTTGAACACTTTGGACTCCAGGCACATTATAAAGCAAAATAATTGATAATAATTAGTTGCAAGACTTTGACTGACCTTTTTTGAGTGCAGACAGTCACTGCTGACCATTTCTTGAACTGATGTGAAACTAGCTAGTCTACTTGTATTTCAGAATTTTCCAAGCTGTACAATAACATGATCCTCGTATCAAGATTGATTAAAGACAGACACCCTATTTAGCTAGCAAAATATCAGCACGCAAGAGCCGGTACCAAGATCAGCATGTAGCTAAGAAAGTGCAGTTTTGTACAGGGCCCCTGGGAGTTTGTACTGGAGTTTTTGTGCCGACAAGTGTTTAATGCACAGCACAAAATCCTAATTTTTCTGCTTGAATGTGAACACACCTGTAGTAATGTGTTGGTAATGAACAACTGAATCTCGACAAACTAATCTTGTAAGAGTGTGTGTATATATACACATCGGCCTGTACAATTGTATGCACTTCACTGCAACACTTCCCTTTTAACATCTGTGTTTATGAAGCTCAAAATGATTGTGTTTGGTTGAAATTGTCATAAATTTACAAATTCAATTGTGTTTATTATTGAGGTCATATTTAAAGATTATGTTGTACTGGACTCCATTATATTCAGAGGTGTTCCTAATATTCTGACTGTCATGTATGTAGCTGGGGAGGACAAAAACAGACACACCTCTATATATAATGGAGTCCAGCTTAAAGAGGCCATGACACGCTTTTCCTTGTTATTTGACTTATCTATAATGTTACAATGGTGAAATTATCATCTTAGACTTGACCTGAAATTCAAAAAATGAGGATGTATACGTATGTTCTAGTACTTCTGTACTGAAGCAACTCGATTTATACAAGTCGCACAAACCCTCGCTTGCAAGAGGTATTTAAAGGATTTCCTTGAACGGGCATACTCTCCAGGCAGTTGCACGTCAATGTGAGCTTGCCTCACATCCATTAGTATCTTTGTAAAAGTGGAATTTTTTGTGACTGTGTGCAGTTTTGGATAAGGATAATCACAATCACCTTTATTTTGCCAAGTATGCTACACACACACACAAGGAATTTGTTTCCGGTACAGATGTGGGTATATTTTTCCTCCTGCTGCTGAACTGTGACCAGAGGATGTGGGGGGAAAAAATACATGACCTGAGGTATACTGCACGTCCGGGAATGTTCATGTACAGGGGCTTGTTTAACCTGACCGGGTCTAACCTACAAGTAGCTGGCCAGTGAAGCACCCTGGGGTGGTAAATGATCAGCCCATCAATGCTCAGTTCCTGTTTATACCTATTTATTTTGACTGCTTGAGGCCAGTGTGTCTGCCACATGTGAAGTGATGCAGGTTAGTGAGAAGACTGATTCATGATGATGATGACGATGATGGTAATAATAATAATATTCACCTTTATTAATATAACACTTTACAACTCCTAGGGGGGCACAAAGTGCTGTACAAAAGAGCTGGAGTAGCCAGTGAAACACAATAGAAAGAAAAATAGTAACAAGTATCAGAATAAAACACAAACATCCTTATAACAGAATATACATAGCATTACACAAAAAGCGGTCTCTTTGGGCAAATAAAAGCAATTTAAACATCGAACGCCTGTTTGAAAAAGTGAGTCTTTAAAACTGATTTAAAAGTCACTAGCTCAGTTACACATCGTAGCTCTTGGGGTAAAGAGTTCCAGAGTCTGGAGCCATACACAGCGAAAGAACAGTCACCCCACTTCTTATAACATGGCCGTGGGACCACCAGGGCCAAGTGCCCTCAGGATCGCAGAGCTCTGCGTGGAGCATAAATGGACAACAGGTCAGAAAGGTACAACGGAGCGAGATTGTGGATGGCCTTAAAAATAAATAGCAACACCTTGAACTTCATTCTCCACTGTACTGGAAGCCAGTGTAGTGAACGGAGAACAGGGGTAATGT